GCTTGCTAGCTCACTCTTATGGACTCCAGCAGCCACGGTAGGAGCTTTCTTATGTAAGGGTCCCTGTGTTGAGGAACTGACATCAACTTCTTCCATCAGCCAGTTAAAAGCTGAGGTTCTTAGTCCGACTGCCCACAGGAACCTGAATGCATCTACGACATGAACAGGGCTCATGGCAGATCCGTGCTCCTCATAGTGCCAGATGACTGCAGTCCTGGCTGACGCCTGGTGACAGCCTTGTGACAGAGCCTGCGTAAGAGGCTTAGCTGAGCCACACCTGGGTCCCTGGCCCACAGAAATGTGAACTAATGAGCAGCGTCACTCAAAGCCACTAGGGATTGGAGAAATTTGTTATTCAATAATAGGTAACAAATGCGTTCTCTTATTGTGCCATACCACTTACTTTAATTTCTGAAATTCTTCAACAAGGCTTGATTTCTGCCCTGGAGACATTCTTGCAAAAATGGTTCCATTCAGCAGAATCTAACAAGAAAAACAGGATTGTAATAAGATTACAGAAAAGAACTTCATAAACATAGAAGTTCCAAAAAATCATTTCTGGGCTCCAATTTCATATGGCGTTGGGTAGCATGTCATTAGACCTACTGTCAGCAAAGGAGAATAAGGGTTTAATGCTTAGCTATTGAGCTTTCTTTCACTTTAAGCCCTCCATCACAACTCTATTACCTTTTCCAGACCATTTTTCCAAGGTGAGGTAACCTCTAATTAATAATAATAAGTATAGAGGCCGGTGAGATAGCTCAGCAGACTAAAGTGCCTTAGGCAAGCACAGGGAGTGCATTTCGATCTGGGGGCACCACACGCAATGCCAGCCCCACCTAGGGGTGCACTGAGCCAGCCAGGGTCTGGGCATAGTGGCACATGCCTGTAATCCCAGCACTTGGGAGGCTAAAAACAGGAGGATCACTACAAGTCCAGTCTGTGTAGTGAGACCCTGTAGACCCTGTACTAAATGCATAAAAAAATAAAATAAAAACAAGATAGTGTTCTCAGCTGTGTCCCAATCAGCTATGCAAACTTCAGGCAAATGACTTAATCTCCCAAAGTCTCTTTTTCTGACCCCCACAATGAGAAGCTGCACTAAGAGCTCTCTCAAAGCTCTTAGGGTCCAGAAGGCATAGTCCTTGACTGATAAGGTGACAGTTTTTAAGGCGCCTCTGACAGATGGTTGCTTCTCTCAGCTTGCGCTCTATTTATCTCCTCCAAATTCACAGAACCACCCCATACAGCACTATTTTAAAACAGGACACAAGGAGGACAAGATAACAAATGGTTTTGAAAATAAACCAGGGGGCCTTTGCTTCCTCCTGCTGTAATTTATGAATCCAGGTGGGGAGCGGAATACAGCCCAGCCTGATATGAGCCGGTGGCTGTCAGAGAGAGAGAGAGAGAGAGAGAGAGAGAGAGAGAGAGAGAGAGAGAGAGAGAGAGAGAGGCTTACCCTCAAAACGGGCAGAGACTTAACTTGAGACTATTCTCTAGGTAGGAAGAAATGGAAAATAGAAGCTGAGATGAGACAAAATCATGCAAATTCTGAAGGCAAGGCCATGTGATAAGCACAGGACCAGAGACGTAGGCAGGACCAAGAGACTTATGCGAGAGTGGTGCCTTCCAGGGCCTTTATCCTCCAACTCAGGGCTCCCCAACCAGAAGCGCACTACACAGCTGGTGGTGAGAACAGGGCAGGTGAACAAGAGAAGGAAGCTTTAGCTGCACTCACAGCTGTTGCCACCCTCTCTTGTCAGATAAGCAGTGACATTAGATTCTCCCAGGAGCCCCAATCCTGTGAATGGTGCACCTAGAGGGATCTAGGTTGTGCACTCCTTATGCAAACCCACTGTAATAATAATAAAAATAATAATAATAATAATAATAGAAATAAAGCATGCACTATATACAATGCCCTTCAGTCATCCTGTAACTAATACTACCTGCCCTGTTGTAAAAAGAATTGTCATCCATGAAAACAGTCCCTGGTGCCAAAAAGGTAGAGAAGCACTGCTGTGACTCTAACACTGTTTCAGTGGTGGTCATTTTCATTATTCTCTTCTATTTTGCCTCACTAATGTCTTGAAGAGAACAACAAATGTTTTTGGAAGCAAGTACTTACTTTTGGAAGCAAGCTGCTGAAATGCTGAACTATCACTTGGTACGATTTCCCAGTCATTGCAAAATGGTAACAGCTCCCTCGCCCCCCATCAGGTAATGAGCTGCTTCCAACATTAATGTAGGTTTCCTGAAATCCAAAGGGCATTATGTCCACATTAGCTCCTCAAGAGTGTTTCTGCTTTGCCTGTTTTCTGAGGAAGGAAATGAATTCGAGTGGCATGGAAAGGGAGGAGCAGCAAACGCAAAATGTGTAGTTTGCCTGTGGAACATTGGTCCCTGAGAAGACACCCCAAATGTCCTCCACCCCCCCAAGCCAGGGGAACACGTGATACATAATACACAGCAATGACAACTCGGGAACTTTTCCTGAGAAATCAAACTTATGTTGTCAGCCTACTGCAAAGGATCAGCCCACTTAGTAATTCTGAGGGAGAAAGAAAGCATCCTTCCATCCCATCCTCCTTGCTGCACAGCCTTCTGTTTCCTCAGCTTTCTTCTGCTCATTTGTTCCACTTCTTTGCCATAAAGTAGGCAGAGTTCTTCATGGCTAGTGCCTAGCTTCTTTCAGCATAGGTGCCCTTCCTCGTGGTGCCAGTCACCCTTCATGCCCCGGGTCCTATTTCGCCAGCACCACTCCTCCCCTCCCATATCCTGCCTATCAGCTTTGCCCTTCGCTCTACCATAGCGATGCTTGGCTCTAAGCTGGGGAGTGCTTTAGTCAGCTTTCGTGTCTCTAGAAGGAAATACCCAACACTCAAAACTTAAAGGAGGAGCGGTTCCATTTGGCTCATGGTTTCAGGGGATTCAGTCCATTCCTGGTTGTTTCCAAGGCAGCAGTGTCACAGCACAGGGCCTTGGTGGAGCACGGCTGCCTGATTAGTGGCAGCCAGGAAGCACAGCCAAACAGGTCCAGAGAATAAGGGGCTAACAGCCAGATGCAGTATCCTCCATGACCCAAGAAAAACCCACAGCATGCTTTACTAATCCCTTTGGTGCAGACTTTTTTTTTTTTTTTTCAGAGCTGAGGATTGAACTCAGGCCCTTGCACTTGCCAGGGAAGCGCTTATTCCACTGAGCCATCTCCCTGGCCCCTATTAATCCCTTTGGAAGCACCCACAACAATCAAGTTGACCATTAAGCTTAACCATCAGAGAAAGGGAATGACTGATGGGAACCATGTCACTAGCAGATGATGGTTTTTCATGCACCATTCCTCAGAGGCCCTTACTTTTGTGTAGGATTCAAGTAGAAGATGGAGAACATTTTATTTGCTCGCAAAATTCACCTCAGTGAAAACAATGTACCTGGAAGAAACAAATCTGCTTTGCTGAATCTGGAGGCAAGGCGAAGTCTCACCTCCTCTTCTCATTGCAAAACAACTGACAAAAGACATGCTACAAAGGCAACGGCAGTGGTCCTTCTTGCTTGTATAGGAAGGTGGGAGGGGGGTGCAGTGGCCTGAGAAGAGCAGGAGGAAGAGGCTGAAAATGCTGCGGGGTTCTCCTGCTGACAGCCACATCTCCAGGAAAGCTGTTAAGCTCAGCACGGAGTAGTGAGCCTGGACTCTGCAAACATTAATGAAGGCCCTGAGCACTATGACACGTGGCACTCCAGGCAGTGTGCGCTGATGCAGAACAGGGTGGAATTCATGGGAAGTTAGCACCAGAAATCTGTTGACACTGTGCAGTGCCATTATACTTCAAAGCCTGGGCAATTGGGATTTGAATCAAACTAACCCACCTCTTCCCCAGGCATGGAAAGGGCCACTCCATGTAGCCATGAAGTCTTTGCTACACAAAGATGAACTCCGTATTTAATGATCTCCAAGGCAGGTAGGCTGGAAGTAAGCGGGCATTTCTGTAATTCATCACCTGGAGGCCCATCTCTTTGAAGTCACTCAAAAACAAAGATGCCACCTTCAGCGGTGGACGTCAGGCTGTCTCCTAGAAAAGAGCTGCTCAGTTGCCAGAAAAGCCTGTCAACTTCATGTCACAGGGACAGAGCAAACCGAATGCCCTTGGATTTGTGTGCAATCAAACAGACCTATATGTGGTTTCCATTCCACTGCTTATCAGTTTGCATTGTGGCAAGGTGACTTCTCTGAGTCTGTCTTCTCTTCTGTAAAATGAATCACCCACCCAACTGCTCAGGTTATAGTGAGGATCGGATGGGAACTATGGGAATACATCAGCGACTCTCAACCCTCATTGGATGTTGGAGTCTCCAAGGGAAGGGCTGGTGTGGACTTGCAGCCCATGCACTCTAATCCAAGTGGCACAGCCTGCACTAGGGAGCTTGAGGTCCTCTCTAGGGCAATTCTGAGTAGCAGGCAGGGCTGAGGAATGTGCTGGAGGTGCCTTGCAAACCGCACACTCTGGGCACATGGGAGGGATCACTGCTGTGATGACTAGCGGACACGTGGTACAGCGCCAGGACCATGGTCTCTCAGCCCAGGCTCAGGGAAGGGAACCCTAACGTTGCTCACCTCCTTCCTGGATCCAGTCTCCTGCTTCTCCACCAGCTGCCAAGTCACAGAAGCAGGAAAATTCTCTTCTGGTTCATTGGCTTCGATGGCAATCACCTGGCTGCCTCGGGGAACCATTTCAGAATTCTTTGCCACAGTAATAGCTGTTTGAAGATTGTCACCTACAAGGTAAAGAAAGCACTTGTTTTAAGTGCAAATCTCTTCAGAGCCAACCAGAACTGAGCTTCCTTCTCCACTTTTTCTTGGTGCTCTTTGGATGTGTCCATGGGCTCCTACTTTATTTTCTAAAAGCTTATCCTTCCTCCTTGTCCTCCCAAGACTGTCTGCACCTAGCGAAAAAATACAACTCTTTTCAAGATGGTCAGCATCAGGCCCCACCCATCATATATTTTCAAAGCAAGCACAAATGAATGAAGAAATGTCCAAGTAGTTTACAGGTGACTAACCCTGAGCCACAGTTCATCATGGTGAGTACACTGTCATAGCAGGAATCTATTCTCAGGACCTGGATTCCAGATAACCAGAGAAAAGAGCACTTAGGGAAAGGCCAGGCCACCCTTGCATTGACCACACCTGTCCCTTGTGCTCTGAAAGCTGACAGGTTTCACCCAGAGATTTTCCAGGGATTCTTCAAAATAGCACTTCTGTTCTCACTGTTCTACTCTCCCTGTGCACATTGTGGGTCAAAGGACAGGCATCAGACAGAGAAGGTATGATCCCTACCTCCATAGCTTCTGGACCTACACAGGTAACAGGGCCACAAGGTGAAAAACTCAACAGCAGACCATTTTCTTTCCACCTTGGTCACAAGAGCTCACTCAGGTCATACATCCTCGTGGGAAGGATTTGTTTCTTTGGAGATTTTTCTAGCTAGGATACAATGAACCTCTCAGACCTATGCAACAAAATTGTAGCTTTTGGATCTGATAGGGTCAGTCAAATCCCCTCAGGATTTATCCTGAGATCTTGTACCTCAGATTATAGATCCTTTGTCAGTGTCAGCCATCTGGATGAGTCACGGCCATTGCTTGGCCAATGTGATCTCTGTGAAAGCCTGAGAGAATGTTTTCTCTCCATATGTGACTCTCCTTAGGCACACTCAACATCATCGATCACTTTCCTCTTTGGCCCTATAATCTCCTTGATCAGAAAATTTGGGACACTACTGAGTTACATGACATTACAGTACAAGTTCTCATATGTCCTGGGTCTTAATTGACCTTGCTTTATCTTGGTCTTAACCAACCAGCAGAAAAGTATAAAAACGAAGTATAAGAAGTAAAGCCATGGTGTTATGTTGAGCTGCACGGAACTCAGGTCAACAATTTCTAACACTGCCAGTCAAGCGGAAGTCCCAATACTATTATGGACTACTGGACTCTTTTAGAATATTTTTCTGAGTTAACACACCTATAATATTCAAATGACTGAACTAAACAAAAAAGGGGATGCAGATGAATATCCATTTTGTATCTGTGTATTCAAAATGGTTAGGATAGATATATAATTACATTCTCTTAATGAATAGAGGGATTTGTTCTAATGATGTTTGTAAATAAGATATCATGTCTGCATCTTGTACAGAAAATAACCACTAGGAAGAATGTATGCAATGTGTTAATTATTGAAACTGTCCTACCAATTTGATTTGATACTGTCTCATTGCTATTTTTTTCTCAATAAAACTATGGGAAAAAAATGAACCTCTCAGAACTCAAGAAAAAACACACCTGTAATCATCACAGTCCTGATGCGGGCCTCGCTGAGTTCCTTTAAGACTGGCTTGGTTTCCTTTTTCAAACGATTCTCCATTATGAGAAGTCCCAAAAATGTTAAGTCTGACTCTGCGTCCTCCCTTTGGATTCAGGAGAAAATCAATATGAATAACCATGTACTCTTGACAGCTACCTTTCTGCTCAAATTTCTCTCTACATTTTATTAATACAATCCAGTACTTGCACATGTTAAATGAAAGAGAACCCCATTGCTTATAAGGAAAACCAATAGTCTGTCTCCACCAGACTCCTGTGAAGACAGATGCTATTGTTGCTAAGAAGACAGCTGCCTTTTCTTGTTTAAGCATTAACTCGGGCTTGCACTTTTTGAAACATGATTTAATATGTTAAAATTGTTTCCATAGCTCTGCTGTAGGAAGTGTAACAAGTACTAAGTAGTATTTCACTTTTGCTGTTAGGATCACATACATAATGTCACTAGTAGTAGAAAAATAAATGTTGCTTATTTATTCAGTTTCTCAATGGACAGAGGTACAATAAGCCACTTGAATCAGTTTCAAAGAAAAGTTTCAGCCTGTGTCTAGCAGACTTTCATAAGACTGAACTTCCCAGAGAAAACACTCCTCTTCACAAACACAGCTGCTTCATACCACTGGTTTGTGGCAGGGTGGGTATTTGTGAAGAACTGGTTTCAAAAACAGAGCCCATGAAGAATAAAAGTAGATCAAAGCTTTTTAAGAACACCTTGAGAATCAAACAAGAACTGCTACCACCTCCATCAAAGCAGATATTACTGCACTGGTATCACAAAACATGGTCCAATAGTTATGTGTATGTTGCTGCTTTTCCGTAGCAATGAAAATATTTTTAAAAGAAAGCTTGTTACTTATATACATTGACATACACACACACACACACACACACACACACACACACACACACACACATAGTGCCCAGGCAAAGAAATGTTGGACATCTATAATATTAGACATTATACAATATATGATTGAAAATATGGTGAATATTTAAATTATCTTATTAAAAATTATTACAATAAAGGACTCATTGCCATTAATCCTCCTCACTTCACAGACTTGTCCCATCATTCTTGCCACTTTCTGAAACATTTGGAAGTCTTCTGCAGGAGCGTCGTTAGCTGCACTGTCGTGGCTGGCTTGATGTCCCGAATCAATTCAACATGTTCAGTTTTCATGATCACTTTGACTTGCAGGAAGAACTAGAAATCACACAGTGCCAGGCCCAGTGAACAAGATCTGGACCAAGCGTAAGGGTTTTTGCCTGCTTTTCCACCGAGTGGCCCTTGGGAAAAGCATTAGAAGCTTTTTGATGACATCTCATAAAGACATTCACCAAAAAGGACTCCCAGAACTGCTTCAGAAAGAGGCAAGAATAATGAAATAAATGTTCTCAAAAGGAAGCGGAGTATTTGGAGGGCAATCAATAGCAATTTGTCTTACTTAGATACAATTTTTAATTTAAACTTTGACTATATATTTCAATTACACTTTATATTAAATCTTTTTTTTTTTTGTATCTTAAGGAAGGGTCTACAGGGTGTTCAGGGTCTCACTACTAGATTGCACTTGTAGTGATCTGCCTGTTTACAGCCTCCAGAGAGCTGAGATTACAAGCCTGTGCCACCATGCCCAGTCTCAATTGCAGTCTCAGTGCGCCCTGTGGGTGGGGCCGACATGGCAGAAACACTTTGGTGAGTGTTCAAATAATTAAATGTCAATCCTATCTTAGTGACAAAGAGACTGCTATAAAAGAAAACCCACTGTAACTTGGAGTTTTTAAAAGACTCTTCCCATCACTTAACTTTATTTTCTGTTATAAGTTGAACTACTGCTAACTAGAGCCAAAATAAAAACCAAAACTCTTCTCCCTGGCTCACTATGTGTTTTTGTTAGATTCACACAACATTTTATGTGTTTTAGCAGTGTGTTGATGTGTCGGTGGTAAGCAAGCACTGCACACATTGAATGCAGATGCCTTGACACACTTAAAAAAAAAAACATGCACAAGCCTAGGCAACTATCACGTCACCAAAATGATAAGTGTACCTGTCACCTCCACTCCCACTTGTGACTTTCTGCTCTGTCTTTAAATTGTGTTTTGTTTTGTTCTGCACCCAGAACCTGTGAGATCTACTCCCTTAACGAAATTTTAAGTGTGTGATACAATATCATTATCTATTAGCACTCCGTTGTACAAATCCCTAGAACTTACTCAGCTTACATAAATAAAACTTCATGCTCATTAAAGAACTTCCTGCTTCTCCCCCCCCCCTTCCCCTGGGTTGTCATCACACTTATTTCTAAGTGTGTGACAATTTAAGGAGCTTCATGTGGGGAGGTCTTGCGGTATTTGTCTTTCTGTGACTGCTATGTTTCACTTAGCGTGATGTGCTCCATATTTGTCCATGTTGTTTTGTGTGGCAGGATTTCTTTTTTCCTAAGGCTGAGTAACATTCCATTGCATGTGTACATTATGTTCTTGAAGCTATTCAACCACATACAGACATTTGGTCTGCTTGTGTCTTTTGGCTATTGTAAATAATGCCGTAAAGAGCGTGGGATTATAGACACCCCCTTGGAGATCCTGATTTCTGTTGGATGCATACCTAGAAGTGGAATTGTGGATAGCTAGATATTGTAAGTCACTCTAGTTTAAACTGTTTTAAGGCCCTCCACACTCTATTCCATCGGAGTTCCACCATTTAGCAGTTGTCTTGCAGTGTACATAGGTTTTCCAATACCCTCAGGCTTGTTACCTTGTTTTCTAGTACTCAGGATAGAACCTGTGGCTTTATGCATGACAGGCAAGTGTCCAAGCACTGAGCTGCATCCCCAGCCTCACTTTATAATTTTTATTTTAACCACCATCCTAGTAGGGGGTGAGATGATCTCACTGTAGTTTAGATTCACATATTAGTGACGTCTAGTGAAACAGGGTCCCTCCTTAAACACCTGTTAGCCATTTGTATGTCTTATTTGATGAAACAAATAAATAAAACAAAAACACATAGTGAGCCAGTACTTGGCCCATTTTTATCTATTTTTTTTTAGTGAATTGTGTTTCTTATACATTTTGGATATTAAAAGACAAATAGCTTGCAAATATTTCCTCCCATCCCATGGATTTCTGTTCAACATGGATAGTTTCCTTGGCTTTGAAGAGTTTCTTATATAATATCCTCAAACAGAAAATAAAAAGAGACCTTCATTTCACACTGCACACAAAAATTAACTAGAATTGGATTGATGACTTAAGCATAGGCCTCAAAAGCATGAAATTCAAGAAACCATAGGGGAAAGTGTTCTTGACCTTGGCCTTGAGGGCAGTTTGCAATGATTTCTTGACTATGACACTAAAAGCACAGGCAACAAAAGCAAAACATGAGCAGTGTTTCTATTTCTCCTTCACAGCTCTCCCGTCATGCACTGCTCCAGGAGCTCTGGCCTCTTGCTTCTCTACTGCACCCTCAGCCATGTAGTGTCCAGGGCTCTGTACCCAGCACCCCTGTGCCCTGCAGTGCCCCTCCTATGGGCCTGCATGCCTCTCTCTTATCTACTCAGATATGTGCCCAGAGTCACTTCTCAGTGGACTCCCTTTGTCAGCCCATGGCGAATGGCACTTTCTGGTTTTATAAAAACTCTCTTAACCTTTTGGATGTTGTCTCTGTAGGATCTTTAAGAACAAGCAATGGCATGACAGTTCATAGATTTATTTTATTCTCTATTTTCTCCAATTGGGATAGAATTTTTTTTTTGGGGGGGGGGACTGGCTCAGAATGCCTTCAGGGCATGTTTGGCTGGCTGGAGTTTTAGGGATTGAACCACAGCAACCTGAGCCTGACTGCTCTGTTGAAGCAGCCACTTAAAGAACTGAGCTAAGGGGCAGGCCCCCTGGGATAGAAAATTCTTCAGATGAGGGTTTTCACCTGATCATCTAATTCATACTAAAAGTTCATAAAAATTTGCAAAACCAATGAAAGGGAAAATCCTGATGAACTATTTCTTCTGCCATTCAGTTTTAGATGATATTGGCTTCCAAATTATCTCAAAGAAATGCTTATATTACTCTTCTTTGCTTTAAGTTCTTAATTTTGATTTTTAAAAATTTATTTATTTGGTAAAAGTTTCACTATGAAACTCATAATGATCCTCGTGTCAGAGCCTCCCCAGCACTGGTATTAGAGGCATGCACCACCATGCCTGGCTCCTGGGCCAGCACAGCATGCCCAGAGTTTGGGGCCAACACAGCACACGCTACCAAGGATCACTCAGGGCCTTGCACTTGCCAGGCCAGTGCTTTGACTGCTGAGCTATCTCCTCAACCTGATTTTCTTTCATTGAAGATCTCTTCTAAATTTAATTTGATTCCAATGCAAATCAAAACCCTATCTTTTTAACCTACTTTAAAATAGTCACTAAATGCTAAGACATTCCTGATAGTCCTTGGGAACAACCCGTGATGGTTAGAACCCATTTTATTATTTTGTTACATTTACAATGATGTCTATTTTACTAGTGGCTCTTAAATTAGAATCCAGCTGTGTTTGCGTTCAGCAGCTGGGCAACAGCTACACTCCATCACTAGCTACAAAAATCTTCTCTTCACACACAACCTTAACATTTGTTATTCAAATTTCTGTTTGAAAAAATTATAAAATCCTACACAGTATAGAGCTTTATGTTTGCTCAAGAACAGCTAGCACCTGGAATGTTAAATCTGAGGATGTCATTCACATATTACAAAACGAGCTTTGAGATGTATTTCAAATATTAAAATGTCATGGCTGAAGTTACCTAAGAGATCATCCAGCTCAACATTTTGTAGATGGTGAAACAGACACAGAGTCAGGAAGGGGCAATGTTTATTATTATTCTAGGGAGACTTGCAGTGCAAGTCGTAATTTTAAAACAAGGATATCAGTGTATCACATGAAGGTGTCAATTATATATAAATGAGAATCTATCAGGAACATACGTTAAATACTCAAACATGAGTAATCCCTCAGATTATCAGCTATTCAATTTCTCACAGTATTTCTCTACTTCTTTGTCACAGCTCATTCGAAAAATAACTTTTCAAGACACTAGAATATTGATAGACAAGAATGGTGCATAGATTATTCTATAATGAGAACTGTTTGTCCACTTAGTGTAGTTAAGAGTATTGAATTTTATTTCTTATAAAGAATCAATTTGTATTTATTACCTCTGCAGTCCTCAGGGAGGTATACTATTGAGTCCCCCCAAAAATTGACTGTTTCTGGCAGAATGAGAGCGGAGACTAAGGTGGGCATGATGTGGTGTGGAGCAGAGATAACACGCCCGTATTCAGGTATCTGACATCCCAACTGTCATCTTTGCTCTGCCCCCCATAGGCATTGAGGCCAGCAAGTATGCTTCAGTCTCCCCTACAATTGCCCATCTCTGTGTCAGAGCATTGGCCAAGGCAGGTTCCCCATCTCCCATGCTCGCTGGTGATGTGAGCCTCCATCTCCGGGGTTCATTCTCCTGCCGTCCCACAGAGCCAACCCTGGTCCCGATTTCTGACTCCTTACCTTGCAAAATGCTCCAATTCTGAAAGTTTCTTCATGCTCAGGACCTTCTGGGCAAGGGCAATAACACGGAATCCTTGTATTGTATAATTCTTTAGCACCTCTGGGAAATTCTTGGGCACTACCAGGAGAGACAGAAGAGGCAAGTGTACGTTCATGTTGAAGGTTGTGTAACTCCGCAGCAAGACTCCAGGATGCTGCCTCTGGGCTTTGTTCTGACTTGTACTACATAAAACTGCTTTAATAGAAAATGTGCAGACAAAGACCACAAACAGCTTCATCAGTGTGTTCTGATAATTCCCTAATAAATGGGATCGTGATATGAGCACATACACAAGAGATTATCTCTCTTTCTACTTCATGAGGATATAGGAAGAGGATTGCTATCTGTAAGCCAGTCAGACAGCTCTCTCCAGGAACCACCTTAACCAGCACTTTGCTCTTGGACAGCCTAGATTCTTAACCAGAACTACATGCAGTAAAAATGTTTGAGCTACACACTCTAGTGTTCTGTTACAGTGTCCCAAGATGACCCAGACAATGTGAACATGAGGCATACTTTGTCCAGTAAGTTTAAAGTACAGCCTTATGACTCTGCACAAAATAAGAGAAAGAGTCCAGCTTCCAGATCAGGGGCTGGGAAACAATGGTGCAGAGCCAAACCTGCGCCACTGCTTGATATTGTAAAGAAAACTGCTTTGAAATGCAGCTGTGCCCACTTGTTTGTTTATTGTCTATAGCTGCTGCAGTGCTACAGTGTTAGGGTTGAGTAGTTGATACAGGTACCAGTGACCAGCAAGGCTTTACACACAAAAGTTTGCCACCTCCAGCTTTAGGCAAAAGAGGTGTGTTCTGTAAATATGTATTTACATATTTAAAATGTGTCTTTGGGGTATTAGATGAACATGCAGCACAGTGGGAGGTATAGTGGTCTAAATGACAAAATAATCTCTGGCCTTCACTCCCACATAGATTTCTGACCCTGGCTAAGGTACCTGTTTCTCAACCATCCAATGGGAGTGCTTCGGATCCCTGCGTCTCCATTTATCTCAAGCTTTCCGTAATGCTAAACTGGTCCTGAGCTATAATTGCAAGGGAACCCTTAGGGTACCACCGCAGATGGTGTTTGCAGGTGTGAAATCAGTGGTTAGGGCAGCAGGAAGAATTGGAAGGGCCATGATAAGGGTAAAAAGTGACGGGTGACAGACTCAGCCCTTGCTGACACAACAGAGGCGGAAGATGCTCATTGTATGATTGAAAACAGAGCAAAACAAAGCTGAGTATGGGCTGCAATCTGTGGAGGCCAAAGTTAGTGGAGACTTTGTGGAAGTTTGTAGAAGGCCAAATTCAGAAAATACAGGGCACTTCTAAAGTTAAAAGAAAAATAGAAGACTCCAGACAGCGAATTGCGACCAATCATTTGGAAAATCTAGAACTGCACACACGCATTGATGGCAATCAGCAATCATGGGAGAACACAGATGAAAAGCAGGAGGGAAAAAGAATGCCAAATTTATCCAAATGAACTCATTTGATCCAGTACTATTCTTCTTAATCTGGCTGCTGCTTACAAAATGCATGTATTTAGAAGATTGAGAAATAAAACAAATTGTCTCCAAGTCTGGGCCAGAAAGAGAAAGTTGCTGTGACAACAATCCATTACCTTTCTCTAATTTCATTTAATGTTCTCTAATCACTATTTTCCCTTAGAGCTCTCCTCACTGTCTGTATAAGTCCTAGAAAGCAGAGTCAGTGCTGCCTCCCAGCTCTGCTGGAGGTGACAGAGCACCCCAGGTGACAGTGGCACTCCAGACCTCACCCATGGGTCTACCATCTCTGAAGGCTCCCCGTTCTCCTCTCCCTGGTCCTATGACCTTGTGTCACCCCCAACCTGGATCTTCATGTTTCACTCCCATCTCCCTTCCTGCCACCCAGTTGTGCAGTGTTCTTACAGCTTTTGCTTTCTGCCCCTGAGCATCAATAACATCCCCTTACATCACAAGGTCTTCTAGGCCTGCTCTCCCCTGCCAGGAAGGACTCAGTCCATATTCATTTATTGCAAAGCTTTTTGTATTTGCTTGTCTTTTTTTTTTCTTTTTCTCTTCCCTCTTTCCTATGGTATTAATGCTCATTTTTCATGTTTGGCCATTGAAAAGATTTAGCTTCCTGAAAGAGAAAAGAGTTGATACCTGTTTCGGATATGCAGAACCTGGCCACCATCTCAGGGGCACCCTTCATGTAGACATGCGCATAGTCCTGCCCGGCCAGCTGGGCAATCACAGACATCCTCTGCAGACTTGAGGAAAATGGAAACTGGCGCAGAACAAAGATGGCTGCCACAGGACTCTGCAAAGGCATCAACAAAGTAGAGCTAGAAATCACCCAAATGCCACTTAGGCACTAAACAATGGGGTCACTCTGCGGTTAGTCCAGCAATATCAGGCAGTGGCATACTTGCCATAATGCCAAGGTACTTGTGGTTGCATCTAAGGAGACTTCTGGTGTGAGAGTCCCCTCCTTTCCTAATGCCTGCCAAGCCAAGCTTACTTCCTCCGTGACACTTCTCTCTCCCACTTTGCTCTTGCTTGCACTTATCTGCACCTGTATTGATTTTTCTAGCAGGATAAGTGCTCCTCTACCATGAACCCAACAGTATGTCTTGTTCTGAAATCTAGCACAGTATGCTAGCATCTGTAAGTACTCCACGAACACTTAGGAAATAAACTAATGGATGAATTTGGGACTGAAGGAACCACCAAACCCAGTATGGGATGTGTTAGGGTAAAGCTAGATAATAGGAATATGAAAATATGTGAAGGAAAAGTTTCACAAGTTTTAAGGAAAAAAGAAATACATGATTTTAAAAATGCAAATCATACCGAACTGGCTTTTGGTCCTGGTTTTATGACTGTGCTTGAACCAGACATTCCAAACTTGCAGGAGTCCTCTTCCACTTTCTGTTGTAAAATGAAAACATTGAGAATATTTCTTGGGAAAAAAGAGTAAGGAGGAAATCTTTGAGCCCTGTTTATATATTTATCTTCCAAGATGATTATCTTTAAATGTAGTTACTGTCAAATTTCTGTTGTATTGCTTTATTGAAAGGACCTTATTGTAGAAGGCCAAAACCCCAGAAATGCTGCAATTCTATTTTAAGTAGTAACTAATGAGAATAGTGCTTGCTCTAGGTCCACTGCTCTTGTTAAATGGGTATGTCTAATAATTGCAGGAAGGATTATGTGGAAACTATTTTCCAATATTGTGGAGCGCAGTAGTTCTTGGATGAGTTAGAACTGTGACTTAAGATAAACCATGAAACTATTTCCTTAAGCCGTATCCATGCTACTAGCCTAATTTAGTTAGCTAGAGAGTTAGCAAGTTCGCTGCTGGCAAAGTAGAAAGCACATTTGAAAAAGGTCTGTATTGTTCAAGTGTTTCAAGAGCAGAAGTCAATACTGTTGAGAAACTACTATTAATCAATATTAAACTCTGGAAAGCAATCCAATATAAACTGGAGAACCATAAAACACGTGAAAGTATTGAGCCATGCCCTATCACAGGTTTAAACTTGGAGACTTCCATTGATTCCTGAGATCTCTATCTGTTCTTAAATAAATATTCTTACAGCATTCTAGAGCTAAAATTCTTGAGTCTATAATGAAGCTGACCCTCCCATTTATGGTTAATGGAAGGTTCCTAACTAAATAAAATATATTTAACTCAAGGCTAACTCAGCTTCATACTGAATGAGAAATCTTGCATCGCTATGCTTTGTTTATTTATTTATTTATATTTGTGTGTGTGTGTGTGTGTATGTGTGTGTGTGTGTGGCCAGCTCAGCCCACCAGGGGGCGGGGCTGGCTGGCTTGTGGTGCTGGGGGATCGAACCATGGTCCCTGTGCTTTGCTTAGCTTAGCTTGTTCTAAGTAGGTGCTTTAGACCACTGAGCCATCTCACCAGCCTGCTATGCTTTGTTTGAGGGGCAGATACAACTGCCCTGGCAGTCCTTACAGAGCTAATGACATTTACATTTCCAACAAGACCCTAACTTGAACTAGAATACACCCCATCCCTAAAATAATTTGTTTCCATCTTATAAAACTGAGTTAAAATGCTCTCTTGTATTTTATATATTACTGAGAGTGAGTTTAGAATTTAGGCAGGGGAATGGGGGGCATGGAACATAATCTGTTAACTAATTAATGAATCCTCGCTACTTGTTCCAAATTTCATAATCCCTTCAGGCTCATTGTCACAGTGTTCACCTGAATCCATAAACAAAGCATTATTATCCCAAATGTGCAGAAAAGGTGACAGTCACTCGGCCACAGAGGGGTGCAGGGCAAGGAGCCTACCCATTTGTCATAGAAGCCAGAACCTGCAGGGCCAATTTATACAATTCAACTGTCACTCACGCTCAGAAAATGGACCAAGGTGAAACCGGATCCTTCCATTACCCTATGTTGTCTAATAAAGTGACTACCAGCTGCTGTGACTGTCTAAATTTAAATTTACCAACACTAACTAAAATTAACAATGCAGTTCTCTAGTTGCATCACTGCATTTCAAGTACTGGATTACCACAGACGGCGCTGCTTTAGATTATCATTTCTCCAAGAGCACTTGCAGAAACTGTGAACCAAGTTATGGCATGTTATCAAGATTTGGGGGGGCCGCGGGGCCAGTGAGATAGCTCAATGGACTAAGCTCCCGCTTTGGCAAATGCAGGGACCATGGTTCAATCCCTGGTCCACCATGCTGCTCCGGACCTGCCCCCAGGGTGCACTGGGCCTGCAAGAGTCCGGGCACGGTAGCACATGCCTGCAATCCCAGCACTGGGGAGGCTGAAAACAGAAGGATCAGTATAAGTCTGAGCTGCATAGGAAGACCCTGTACCAAATACATAAATTAAAAAAGAAAAAGATTTTGGAGGTCAAATAGATTTAGTAAATGTTGTATCTTATATTCTATCTTGAATACCCATAGAATAGGTAAGAAATTCTACAGTCAAAATAACCGATTTAGCTTTTCTTAAATAGATTCTAATTTTAGTTTATTGTTGAACCCTATTTGATGTTATACTCCTTCATTGAGTTCTTTGGAGCAGAGGTTGGAAAATTCTGGTAGGATCAAACTAGAGAATTCATGTGGAAAAGATTTCTACTTTTATAATGAATGTTCTCTGGATTTTTAACTGAAGTTGGAAAGTCTTCAGGAATCCCTGTCAGGATTCTTGATTTTTTGTTCAACTGAACAAGCTATGAACTTACCCAGGCAGTGCCTTCAAACATCTTGAGGTCCAGAGGGTCCCCCTGGATGGTCCCATCAAGAAGGATCAGAGAGTGGCAACTGGCCATGGCCGCACACAGGGGGCTCCATGGCAGAGCCCTGCCTGAACCAAAACTGTGGCCTTCCTGGAAACTGGTAGAAAAGATAATTAAGAAGCTAACGTCTTCCACAAAATCACTTGCACACTCCACCCCTTAAGTCTTACTAATGAAGAGCCCCAGCCTCCTAACTCTTCCAGTCAAGCCCTTCAGTGGCTCCCCACTTTCTGCATGATGACATCCAGCCTCGAGCCTGGTAATCGGGCCCCATCTGCTCCAGTCTGACCTCAGCCACAGCGGCTACCTTCCGCTGATGTCCTTTTCACTCGCGATTCTAGAGCCAAATTAAATTTATTGCTATTTCTGCTCTTGTTCCTTTCTGTTCCCTGAGTTTCCTTGTTCTTCTGCCTGCGGAATGATCTTCAGACCCCCTTTCCTTGAGCTGGGTACGTATTTCTTTCTTGGCAGAGGATGCCACTGGTAAGATATATAACTAACATCAGAAGGTTTGGATATAACTGCAAGGACTTCTCAGTGATGCTAGCGAACTCTGTAGTCCTGGCTCTAAAACAACATACCCCCTAAGCGAGCAGTGCCAAGGTTCAGGGGTAGTATGAGAGGTGGAAGAAAGCCCACCTGGTGGTTCTAGGCAAGAACAACCGTGCACGGGCTCTCCAGTGTTTCTCACTACTCAACCTTTTGGGGTTTGATTCCATTTCTGGAAGCTGCCAACCAGACATACTGCCTACACAGCCTGTTTTCCTCTTTGCCAGTACACAATGTTATGGCTTGCCTTGCTCTTTTTCTACCCTACAGCCAAATAGTGACTATGTTTAGCTCTTTCTACACCCCCAGAAGTGTCAGAATACTAGGGGTATGGGAGAAAGACACAGAGACAGTAACTGCAAACTTCCTGTCCCCTTGCACGTCTCTGGCCTGCAGAGGTCCTGTCTGTTTGCATAAATGCCTTGGCAGGACATCGGAACCACCAAGAGCAGGACAAATGAGCAGAGTTCCTTGACTCCAACCCACCACGTCTGACCTCTGCTGTGCTTTATGCTAGCCCTACCTCTGGCCGGCCCCCATCTCTATGACTCCTTCTCTGATTGACAGCTGCCTCCCACTGGAGGCCCTCATCACACAGACCGGAAATCTTAGGCTGAGCTCAGAGTTCTCTACTGGTATGGGTCCTCCCGTCCCCCACTCTGGGTCAACTCCTGTCCCTAGCCCCAGCCTTCAGACCACATCTATAAAATTTCTACATACACCTCCTTCAAAAGCTATCTAAAGTATCATCCTTTTTAGGTGGTTTTTATTGATTCACCAACTTACCTTTTTTTTATTTTTTTAAAGAAAACAAAATAGTAAAAAAAAAAATTAGAAATGATACAAAATTTCATACCTCATTATTATACTTTTCTGCTGGATGGTTAAGACCAAGATAAAGCAAGACGTATATAATAAGAAATGTAACATTTGTATCTGATAAGGTCAGTCAAATCCTCTCAGGATTTAGCCTGAAACCCTGTACCACAGTTTGTAGATCCTTTGTCAGTGTCAGCCATGTGGATGTGCATGCCACCATACCCAGTCTCCATTGTCATCTCAGTGTGCCCTGGGGGCCAGCATGGCAGTCTTTAATTAAGCATGGTCTTGATTTCACTCCTTGCTTCTCTGTTTTACTCACTTGGCTCCTAAATTATCCCTCTCATTTGATTTCATTTTTTATGTGGAGGCCGAGGACCTGCTTTTCCTACCTGATTCCAAATGGCCATTGCTTGACCAATTTGCTCTCTGTTAAAGCCTGAGAGAATGTTTTCTCTCCATGTGGCTCTCCTTAGGCCCACTCTACATCATCGATCACTTACTTCTGTGGCCCCATAATCTCCTTGATCAGCAAATTTGGGACATTGCTGAGTTACAGGATGTTACAGTACAGGTTCTCTTATGTCCTGAGTCCTCACTGACCTTGAAAGGCTAGGACCAAAATGTTGGCTGTCCTTGCAGCCCTTCTTTTTCTCTAATTTTTGGTCTGAAAACTTAAGTTGTTAACCCTCCAGAAGAGAAACTTAACGATATTATTACCCTATAACATAGACAGTTGAGCTTAACCTCAATATCTGTCTGAATATCAAACATCTTAGACACAGCATGGAACAGGTATTTTCCATCAAGTATTGATATGTTAAACTTTAAATCCCTACAGAATGTGAAGAAAAAAAGAATAAATAAATATTTTTAAAAATTGGAATAAACAATTACATATCTTACATACAAATTTAGAAATCTAACCATATACAAAAATTCATTAAAAAGTAATAGGAATTCAACAATGGTTCTATCATTCAAATTAGTTGTTTAGGCTACTTCATATAAACATGCAAAAGTGGTTAAATTTTTTTAAAAACTTATAAGAAATTAAAAAGAAAAAAAAATTAAGCACTAACTGTACCTTTCAAAAGACCAGCAGAAATTGGCAGCACAATCATCCAAATTGTACTGCATATGTATACATAAATATATCTTTCTCATTTCTTTCTTTTGTCCTTTTTATCATCCCAGTTTTTCCTGCCCATTGAACAAATTCCTTGCCTTTCACAGTATCTGTTGTACCTTTCAGATTTTATTTATTCTTTCAGGTTCTCCATACTAGTGAGACAATACAATGTTTTCACAGGTGAGTCTGATTTATTTCATTTACCAATGCAGTCTCTAATTGCATCCATTAAGTTTCAAAATGAATTTTTGCTTTTCTCACCTTGTTATTATAAAAATCAAGGATGTGTTATATAACAACCAATAATTTTGCTTCTCCATTCCAATTTCTGTGTCTTAGTAGTAAGTTCTACAGCCTACTTTGCATTGAAGGTGAGTCTTTCGGTCCATTTTCTTCCTTAGATCAAGCTCTGTGGAGGAGGGGACGGGCTCATCTCTCCTGGATCTGCCCTACCCAGCTGCCTGCATGAGCCACCCAGGAAGCCTTGGCAGTCTTTTTTTTTTTTTTTCTGTATTTTAGGGAAGGGTCTACAGGGTGTTCAGGGTCTCACTACTAGATCAGACTCATAGTGATCTGCCTGTTTACAGCCTCCCAAGAGCTGGAATTACAGGTGCATGCCACCATACCCAGTCTCCGTTGTCATCTCAGTGTGCCCTGGGGGCCAGCATGGCAGTCTTTAATTAAGCATGGTCTTGATTTCACTCCTTGCTTCTCTGTTTTACTCACTTGGCTCCTTAATTATCCATCTCATTTGATTTCATTTTTTATGTGGAGGCCAAGGACCTGCTTTTCCTACCTGATTCCAAATGCAGGACACATTTCATCAAGCAAGTTAGGATAATCGGAAACTGAGTATATATATTGAATATATATATATATATATATATATATATATATATATATATTGTTTTTTTCTGATGTGACTCACACCCTTCAACTCCAGAAGGAAAGCTTTGAATATTGTTAAGGCAACCACATTGCTGCACATTCCATCCTCCCTTATGGGACTTACCAGTTCTCAGCAGTAGGGACTGTCCCCCAGAGGTCAAGCCCATCTTCTGTCAAAGTGCCTGTCTGGATAAACGAAATACCGTTAACATAAGATTTCAGGCTGCTAATATTGTTCTATTGAGATAAAATCCAAACTTCTAAGAAATCGCTGTAGATCCAATTGTCAAAATCTATTTGTAAGCATAGAATTTTTTTTCACTTATGTATTTGGTACAGGGTCTCACTACACAGCTCAGACTTGTAGTGATCCTTATGTTTTCAGCCTCCCCAGCGCTGGGATTACAGGTGTGTACCACCATATCCGTAATTTGTTATGGGCTCAGCGTACCCCAGGGGAAGCATAGAATTTTAAATCTGGTCATATGTCATTCTCTAAAGACTGTGTTGAACATCACATGACTCGATACTGGGTGGCAGCAAAATGCAAGTGCCCTTCGTTGATTTTGTTTACTACTGTCTATTGCTCCTGTTTGTGACAAAGCTAAATGGAAATTCAACAAGGACCAACTCAAGTATGACTCTTCAGTGGGCACCTACAGTCTGCCCAAAGCAGAGTTCAGCAATTATTTTTCTTTCTAAGATTGTTTAGTTCACAGTTTGCCATCTGGTTCATCACAATTTTCTAAAAATATGAGTGATGTGGTGATCTTCCAGATTGATAATGAAATGTTAATAAAGGGCTTTCAGGTTATAGAGAAAACTAAGTGCTAATAACAAATATTAATTAAAACCTATGAATGGTTTTTATTGTCAGATCCAGAGGAAGGTGGTCAGAAGATCTGATATGCTGCATTATGCAGAAGTATTTGTCAGACAGGGTAACTGAGAACGTGAAATGAAACTGACTACTATGGAATGCTTTTAATTTCCTCACTGCTTCTGGACCATTCGTTACTTGTGAGTGAGGCTTCTACTCTGGCACGCAAACAGCACAAAGCCAGCTCACCACCCAGAGTGGGCCAAGTTGGTGGTGCAGAGCTCTCCCAAGCACCACAGAGCCTCTGACAGAAGCTTGTAGTTCATCTCTGTCCAAGAGGCTGAATTTTCTAGCTTCCTGGAAAGTGGCGTCTACCGTTACAGCACAGCACACCTGTGCAGTGGTTCTCAGTGTGATGCCTACAGAGCCTTTCTTTCTTATGCGTGAGCAGAGACAGGCTGGAGGGTAGGGGACAGCAGACCGATAGGCAGGGCCAGCATCCAGGCTGTCTGTAGTCTCCCTCCACAAGCCGCAGCACCTGAATTCTGTGTTGCACATAGAAAGACACTGCCCACTCTGGGCTTCCACATTCAGCAATTAAGGAACCCTTGTGTGATGAATTCATCTGGACTTCATAAAGAAAAGAGCTGCCATGCTTCTACCAGTTATTCCCTGACCAATAATATTTTTTAAATTTTATTCATTTTAATGAGAAGAAAAGATAAAATAGCCAAGGAACAGTTTCAAAACAGGTTAGTAGGACAGTTACAATAATTAATCCATTACATATTGTTAAGCATCTCCTCTGGATGTTTAACAACTAAAGTTTGCACACCAAAAATTAGACAGATAGATGGGCTAAAAAGCCAATATTTTGGCGCTAGCCCTTCAAGGTCAGTGAGAACTCAGGACATTGGAGAAGCTCTGCTGTGACATCCTTTAACTAAGAGGTGTCCTAAATTTTCTGATCAAGGAGATTATGAGGCCAAAGAGCAAAGTGATCGACGATGTAGAGTGTGCCTGAGGAGAGTCACATGGAGAGAAAACATTCTCTCAGGCTTTCACAGAGAGCACACTGGTCAAGCAATGGCCGTGACTCATCCACATGGCTGACACTGATAAAAGAACCACAAGGTGCTGTACACAGTTCCAGGGTAAGTCGTGGGGGATTTGAATAATATTTTTTTAAAGTTGCCTCCTTCCTTTTCCCCCAGCATTGTTTAAGGACCTCAAATTGTGCTTTCACTTTGCGAATAGCCTTGGGTCACTGCACTTTGTGAAGTGATGGCAGCTTCAACCAAGCCTAAATGTTTTCCTGTTGACTAGATTCTGTTTCTAAACATCAGTATTTTGAACAGGAAACGGAGATGATGTGGAGCAAAACAGAACTGAGAACATGTCATTTCTCTATGTGAAAATGACCCTTGATATGAGGAAATTAATGATAAATGAAAAGCAAAGCAAATCATACTCACAGCTGCTTTTCTAAAGTGAATCAGATAGAAAAAGAAAACCTCTTAGTATACACACAGGCCCAGGCTTGGGCCAACTTGAATAAAAAGAAAGAGAGATTTTAACTTAAAGAACTTCTAACATATATTTAGAGAGCTTCTAAATATAAGCTAGAAACATATATGGACCAAGTAGACCCAGGAGCCCAGTGACACACATCTTCTAAATTGAAATACTCCGAATGGAAATTCAATTAATAGTGGACTTTTTATTGCAATATTACACTGATGGAGTTTTATAATGTGAGAAATGGGAAATAAAATGTTGGAGATAATTATAGCTCAACCGTTTTAACTCAAAAATATCTCACAGAAACTTGGTGTCTAACTCAGGATTTGATTTCTCATTTTGCCATTTCCAAACCAAGAGTTCTTCACAGTCCACCACGCTACCTTTCCGCAAGAAGTCTGGCCATGCAAGCTTCAGATGGCCCCACAGCAGGGACCAGAGGCAAAAAAGTTCTATATTGGAGGTAAAATTAAAAGCCTCTCGGGAAAAATAAGTGTTTGGGACAGATAAATAGGTAATGAATATATTTTTGATACAGCTCTCATGACATAAGTAATGCTGTTAGATAAGTAATAGGAATCCCTATCAGAAAATTTGCAAGGAGTTATCTGCCCCTGAATCTAAAATGAAACTATTGCTAAATTAACCATACCAGCTCCTGACTGGTGGCGATTCAGGGCCTTCTTTGCCCACACAGCATGAAAAGAGAGAGAGCTAAAAGAATCTAAGAGATGTGCCACGTCTGGCTGAGGAGCAACCGAGCCAGTTCCTTGTGCAGCTTCTCCGGTCTGTGCTCTGACTCTTCTATCCTTGTCCCTTCACCTAGAGCATGAATGACCTCTTCAGCTGTCCCCAGGTGTCCTTCTCCTTGTATGCTATCTCTATTGCAGAGACAGAATAAGTGGAATAAATAAAACATCTAAAATAATGTCACACATCTTCTTAAGAAGTGATAAGGGCCCAATTTCCTTCCAGCTGCCCCAAGCTCCTACTGGCCCTTCTGACCACATCCTGCTGTCCACTGCCCACACAAGCATTCCTCTCACCACCTGGGCTCTGAACTGCTCACCTCAGAGTCTGCCCCATTCTGTCTGATGAAGTACAGCTCAGAACTGACCTCCCACATACAGCAGGTAACCACGCCCGGTGCTTCCAGAGGTGTGCGGGCCCTGTTAAGCCCGCACCTCGTGGTATGACGGTTTCCCGTAGTCTTGTTTTCCCTGCATCCACAGCTGGACTCTGAATCACTAAAGAGCTCATCAACACAACTCCACCAGACTATGGCCAGTCTTGGGTCTTTGCCAACCTGGGTTAACTACAAAATAGCCAAAGCCTGGATCAATGATCCCAGTGCAAACAAACTGAAGACAGAGGCCCAATCAAGCACACTGCATTGCAGCAGTTAAGCTGGTCTGTCCACGCCGAGGGCAGGATCTGAGGCTAGAGTTCCTCTGGCCCCCAGAAGAGGGTCTTGGGTCCTCCCAGGCTGGCACCTACACTCCCTCTGCCACCTTTCCAGGAACCTAGGACAAAACCACCTGCCCTATCCTGCAGTCCTGGGAGTAAGGAGGGAAGAGGGACAGGAGAGTGTGAGTACCAAAGGTCACTGCCACTGTCTACTGTCCTTTCATTATTACAAAAAGCAGAGGGAGAGAAAGCTGTTCACCTCAGTGCTGCACAAGGCACTGTGGGAAACAACAAATTCCTCATGTTGTTGGCAGACAAAGACAGTCCAGCCTAAAAGCTCTTAGAGTAAGAGAATATTTGGAAACACAAAACAGGTACAAAAAGTGCTAACATTTCATATGGGAAAAAAATATTTCCTGATGTGATGGCTCAACTGCTACCTAAGAAGTCAACTTCCAGAATAAGATCTCAGATCAGCTCACAGTGTGTCCTTCTCTGGCCTCAGTTTTCTTATCTGTAAACTGGGCGTCCTAGACTAGCCACTCAGAGCCCTTCTTCCTCTCATCCTTACTGGCACCCGCCTTCAAGCTGGAAAGTTGGGAGTCTACCTTGTCAAAGCACACAAGGTTGATCTGCCCACACATGTTGATTCTCTGGGGGGAGATACAGAAGATCTTCTTCTTTTTCAGCCTCTTCTGGGCATAGACAATACCAATGGTCAAGGCTGCTGGCAGCACAGGAGGGACAGTCACAGTGAGGAGGAGCAGGGCCATGGTTGTTGTAGCTCTTGGAGGGGCCTGGGAGAGAAGAGATGAGGGTGCACTTAGGTCCATATAGCAGGGTGCTTCTTCCTGCCACCTAGGTGGTCCTGAGATAAGGAACAATCCTCCAGACTCTGGCTCAGGCACCTGCTGGGGAGTCAGTGCCTCTGGCATGACTGAGTGCTTTGTGGCTGTCCCACAGATGAACACCTGTCTCCCCATGAAGAACAAAAAAGACTTTGAATGCTTACTGCCCCAGCCCTGTCCTGACTCAGTTTCCATCCAGTTAATGTTCCTCCCCTCAAGCACTTTCCCTTCTCTGCACAGTGTGCTCCTCCCCCCACCCTTAGGATCTGAGACCAGGAATGCTGCAGTTCTACTGCTTTCCTCTGCAGCACCAGAAATGTCCTCAGAGGTCACCCATGGCAATGACCCCTTCCTTGCTGTCATCCCTTGAAAAGAGGCACCTAAGTAAAACCAGACACTCTATAGCTGAAAAGGATCTTAAACTATAGATTCCCTGGAGGGAATTGGCTCTATGAAAGTGAATATTAAATTTCATTTCAGAACCCAAGCAGAAAACATGAGAAAGGTCCAGGGATTACCTGGGACACTTCAAGTACACAGTACACAGGCGGCATTCAAGATCGCTGCAGTCTGATCTACTCCCACCTTGCAGGAGTTCTCTCTTAATTACCAGCTGATTCAAAAGACCTTTTTTCCCTTTTTGTGTTTTGCTCACTTCCATTAAGCCCTTCCTACCATATGACCTTTTTGACTACCTTCCCCTTCTTCTTATCAGTCTGAGAAATACATAATCATGGAAAACTACCTGGGGTTGTACAGCGCTTGTGCCAACCTTCATTCCACAACAACTTGTCGAAACCATCAGGCAACTTTGCAACTTCTGACAATGGTGCTAGCCAACATGGTTGCACTGCCACTAACCACATGTGGCTATTTAATTTAAAGTAATTAAAGTGAAAATAATGAAAATTTACTTCATCAGCCATATTTTAAGTGCTCAGTAATTTCATATGGCTCAGTGCTACCTTATTAGGGATCATAGATAAAGAATAGATCCACCATCTAAGAAAGTTCCTTGGCCAACACTGATTCACAGAATGATAGGATCAACAGGTAACCTTAACTAACTCTCTCAAGTTAAGTCTAGTGCTTGAGAAGCTGTACCCCAACACTTACTTCATGGTACATGTATATCCCTAGGGCATAGAAAAACCCCACAACACCAAGGAAGGCCAGGAACACCATGAACTTGAAGGCTTCGCTGTAGAGTTTAAAGTTCAGAGGCCGGGGATAGAGGATGGATCTCACCAAGTCCCCTTTGGCTGTATTGTAACCTACAGGAAAGTAAACAGAGACCAAGTCAGGCCCTTCAGCAGTTTCCTTCCAAATCAAAAGGACTGTACTTGGGGGTGTTTGGAACATGGAATAACGATGCACTGACCCAACAGTATGTTTGCTTTCCTTGTTACAAATTATGAGGGAAGGGTCAATGGCACTCAGCGCCTTTGATTTCTCTTGGCCTGGCACACCACACCTCTTCAGGTCCCCAGGTGTACCTTGCCACACTGCCCATGGGCTGAGAAAGACTGGGCTAAGGAGTCGAAGAGAAGTGAGTACAGAAAATGAAGTGACAACAAAGACTTCAAAGCAGGTGTTCAAAACAGACACGTGTTAAAACATAATTAAAAATTAAGGGAAAAAGAAGTAATTTGTTAAAACTATATATGTATCAGCCTATGATAATCATATCATCTTGGTGTCCAGAGCTGCCATTTTCATAGCATGTAATTCAATTTTGGGGCATGGTATTCAAGGTCTTTTTCAATCTGACCTACCGCTGGCTTGTTGGGCTGATCTTGTTATTATTCCCTGGTCTCAGAAGACCTTGGAAATTCCTTCCTTTGCATTTTTTAAATCCAAACTAGTTTATCCTTCTAATTCTTATATGATTGGTGAAACCTTCCTTGATGCTGTCAGCCTTGACTCAATGCCACGTCATCAAATAAGGGTCTCCAAGATTCTTCTCTGGAACTTTCTACCAAAAATAACCGACCTTATCCTTTGGAGTCCCTGTAGCACTTGGTCACATGACATCTACCTCCGCTCTATGTTTTAGTTAGCTGTAAATTCACCTTTCTTCTACAACAGATTATCAAGTCCTCTAAAGAAAAGGGTATATCTCACCAATTATTTCTTTAGTACTCAGTGCGTAACACATCAGAAATACCACTGTCAGGACTATTGAGTAAAATAATCAATTACTATATTTTGAGATAACAGTCAGGATTGATAGAAATAAAATGTGCCTCAACCCCACTGCTTGACGGACGCTTGTCTCCTCAAACATGGCTTGACTGAATTGGAGGACAGGAAGAGAGTTTCCTCTTGCTACCTGGGCATTTTAAAAGTCTCAGGTAGTTTTCATAATCTCTAACCATTAGCTTCCAGTTACAAACAACTTTAGCAATGCTCCAAAACCCATGAATTTTAATATAAATTAATCATAAATTTAATTATAAGTGTTCACCATAGACAATGTACTTATGGGCCAAACCAAAGCAGAGGGGTGTCAAAGTGCATGATGTGCTTTATGTCTACAACTATGAGGCTTGGCTGAAACACGGGATGGGGTGTGCGATGTCATGGGAAAAAAGCTGGCCATGAACATGGCCAGCTGTGGAGAGCTTTGCCAGCATGGTATGTATGGGCTATGGCAAGCCGTGTCTTGTAAATGCAACTCAGGTGACAGTTTAGAGAAAGATGGGACAAAAGTTGAAAGAGAAGAGTCCAAAGAGTATTTCTGGTATAATAGTTTAGACCTGCAGGGATGAAAATGTGCACAGCACAACAGCCACAGGAATGAAGGCGAGGGGCACAGGTCTTTGGAGCTACAAGGACAAACACTGGGATTTGGTGCCCGTTGGATATAAGAGAAAGTGAGGCCTTAAAGGTGACCTTGAGGGGCCAGTTAGAGGCTGCTGCTCTGCTGCTGCTACAGAGAGACAGCACAGGACGAGTTCACATTCCAGTGCCTGACTTTGCAGGGTCTGTAGTGCACCCAGACAGAGGTATCCAGTGGGGAGATACCTGCACAGCCTAGCAAGCAATTCTGAATGGATCCTAGCTGACAGTGATTTCGGCAGGCCCCAGAGGGAATGCTGAGAGAAAAGGGAAGAAGCCTACGGATGTAAGCCAGACCAATGTCATTGTTTTCACTTGATGGAAGCCTAAATCATCGGTGTACATCGTTTGCCCTATGCAAGGATTTTTATGGAATGTGCTTTCTTTTTTTCATTCTTGAAACCCATGAAGTGCTTACAATGGGACAGGTGCTAGAAGCGAGTGTGAGGAGGTGCACAAATAGCCTGAACAGTCAGGAACCATTCAGTTAGAATGTAGCAAAATTTGGAGTAATAAATGTCTGATTAGAAAAGAATAGGAATGTTAATACTAGAAGGTGGAAAATTCCAAAATCAAAAAAAAAAAAAAATCTTTCCCTAATCCAACACTCCCCTAACCTTCTGGCATGCACTAAATTTACAAAAGTGGAATCCACTCACCTGTCTGCAAAACAACGGCTCTCACAGGTCCCTGCCCAGAGGGCTTGACCTGGATAACTTCTGTTCCACAGAAAAGCACATGTTTCCGATAATCCTCCAAACTGTGGGACTTCCAGGGCGTGGTGCTCTCTGTGTGTGGCAGTGGTGTCTTCGTAACAGGTATGCTTTCTCCTGAAGAGCATTGCAATTTGTTGATTCTGTGTATACTCAGGTAGCCACTCCTAATTGGTGCTCGCTTGGTTTTATGATAGCATATGATCGCAGCTAATGGACTTTGAGTCAGATGTCTCGCCTGAGTCAGATGACTGTTCTTAGGCATGCCAGCAGTATGCGCAATGGTAGACTTGATTCTATTTCAAATTTCATTTAAAGATCAGTATCTTTTTCTCATGCCTGACCTGCATGGTTTGTTGCCATCATTTAAAAAGTGGCCAATGTTAGCTGTTACTTAACCACTGTCCCAAGAGTTCCTCAGCCCAGCACTATGGCAAGCAATAAGGGAACTATATGGCACACGGGTGGTCATTGCTATTTGCCTCTCATTCCTTCATTTATCCAGTCATGTACCTTTTCATTAAATGAATATGCTAGAACATTGTTGTCAATCCATATCATTTTCAAGTGAGCCTTATCAAAGCCCCCTTTTATTATTTTATTTTTCTTCTCAAAAATCCTTAGGCATTTCCATTAGCTAAGAGGTAATAAAGCCTAAGCTCTCCTGCTAGATTATCAGAACTCACCCCAATTACAACGCTGTTGCTGTAATTTCCCTGCATAAGTATCAGCTAAACTAAGCCCTTGCACTACCTTTCATTGACTTTTGTTCTTTGCTGGTAACATTCCTCTTCCTTCTGCTAACCGTAGAACACAATAGTCAAAGAACAAATGAGTTTAGAGTGCAAAAGATAAATTTCAGAGACAAAATAGAAATGTTAACAACACTTGCAGGCTCCCAGATTTAAAAAGCAGTAAAATGAATTTAAAGTTCCTTAGGTCTTTTGTTAAATATCCAACTAGCAGAATATGTAATCTTTCCAATTTGGAAATAGTATGATATTGGTTATAGTTATACAAATTTAGTTCTTACCTTTAGGTAACTGAAGACAGAGACTTTGACATACATATTTATACTCTGCGTTTTCCCTACTGGCATATAATAGGTTCAAAATATGTATCTTTGCTAAATGCATAGAAGAGTTAGAGAAAAGCAATTATCCAGGTTTTTCTATTGCTGTTTTTCTCAAAACTAGCTTCCTACTATGATACTGATTTTATGCTATAAGGTAGAAGAAGCTATGAAGTTTGTATTAGTGCTCTTTGAATGTTCTTTGTCCATGTGACATTTTCTTTAAAACAATTCCAATATTCATCTATTGTATGAATATAGTTACCAATGACATTTTAAATCATTTTGTACAAGGAATAGAACCTTTTGACAAATCTCCAAGTCATTGTACCACATTGCTTTTGAAATTAGCCTTTGTAGGGGCCAGAGAGATGGCTCAGT